ACCTCCCACTCTCCCCCCTTCACAGGCCTCCCAGCTGTTCCTAACTTAGAAAACAGCCACCTCAGAGCCTTTACACTGGCTGTTCCCTCTGCTGGGACCTCTTCCTCAAGGCAACCACATGGCTCAAGGGAGACATCTACTAAATTTGCTCTATTCACAGGTCACATTTCCCAGAAAGGCTTCTCTTTTTGGTACAGTGTACCTTTTTATTACCATCTTGTCATCCCTCATTTTTCTCCATGGCAATGACTGCCACCTAACTTACTCTCTCCCCAACTAAAACATCAGTCCCAGGAAGGCAGGGATCCTGGCCTGTCCATGGCTGTGTCTCCAGGATGGGGCCTAGGCCTAGCACACAGACATCGCTGCATGGCAGACCCAAGTGCCACCCCCACACTAGGGACCAGGTGCTCCATCCCCACTCACCATGAGGTTGGCATTTGCGATGTGGTGCTTGATCAAACCCCCACCCAGGATGATCATGCCAGAGCGCTTGGCAAAGATGGCCTGTGTGTTGATGAGCCTCAGATCTGGGGAAGAGAACTGTGATCAGGCCCCGGGCCCAGCCAGCCCTCCTCCCCGACTCCTCTGGCCCCCACACCTCACCCTCCACGATGTCCAAGACCAGACCCGGGTTCTTGTAGGAATGGAAAAAGATCATGTCGCCCAGCGAGCCATCTGTGAGTGCCGGGCTCAGTACGGGGATGTGGTTCTGGGGGAGTGCAGGACAGGACAGCAGCAGGAGTCAGATCCTGGAGGGGAGAGGCTGGTCCCCATTCTGGCAGCATTCCCTCTCTGCCCGATTCTGGGCATGGGGTTTAACTTTTCTGGGCCTCAGTTTCCTTGACTGTAAAATGACAGTAACAACAGTACCTCCCTCACAGACGAGGACGCATTTATAAGAAAACCCACCCAAAACACTTAGGCCCATGCCCAGCACATAGAGAATGGCAGGCTGTTATTGTTCCCACTGCTGGACGTCATAGCCTCTGAGGAGCAGGGGCCCTAGCACTGCCCCAACTGCTCCCAGGTGGTGTAGGAGTAGAGCCAGGATATGAGGACCACACTCAATAGCTGCGTGACCTCAGAAAAGCTGCCGAGCCTGTGTCTGAAATTCCTCATCGAAGAGTGCAGGTGATGAGAACAGCACTGACTCCCTAGGCGACTGTGAAGATGAAACGAGTCCAGCCCCTCACCTTCTGGGCCCAGTAATACACTGACTCTGGGTGGTTGATCTCCTTGCCGAGGCGGGCAATCATCTTGGAAGGCGTCCACTTCACACCCTGGGAGGGGACATCAGCTTCAGCCAGTGGTGCCTTCCCTTACTGCCCCCATGCTAGCCCCCAGTTGTTCCAGCCCCACCTCTGTGTTCTGCTCCAGCACCATCTGGTCCAGAATGGGCATTAGCCAGTCCTCAAACTTGCAGTAATTGTCATTGGGCACCAGCAGGTTCCCAATCCTGGAGACAGGAGGCAGATAGGCATCAGGCCCCAGGACCCTCAGTCCAGCTCCCCCGCCCAACACCACTTAGGCCCCCCACCTGTTAATCCCGTTCTCGCGTAGCTCCTTCCCCCTGAGGCTGAACTCGCCCAGGTATGTGGGTGCCAGGCACTTGATGAGATCCTCCTCCACGCCCCCAGCCGTAGTAACCAGGACATCCACCTGCAGCCACAGGCAATGAGGTTGGCCCAGATAGGAGGACCCAGCCCTCATTCTGGGCAGGGCTCCTAACTCCCAACCCTCATCTAGTAACTTTACAGGAATGTCTGCTGCAAAACAAAACTCAATCCTGTCCCTCTGCTTAGAATTGGCCCATATCTCTCTATCTTACTAAAATACCAGTGATCTTATTGCCCACTGACCCCAGAGTGGTCAAGGCCACAGCCCATCCCATCAGCTCCTCACCATGTTGTGCTGCACGAGATAGCGGATGGTCTCACGAATGCCTGAACTGATGAGGTTGGACGTGTAGCCCAGGAAAATGGTGCAGCCGGTGAGTGGGCGGCGGCTCTGGGTCAGGTCTTCGTGCTGGTCTTCATCCTGCGGCAGAGGCTCCAGCTTCTTCTCTATCTGTGTGCGAGAGAGGAGTCAAATTAACCTCTGAACCCAAACTCCAGCCCAAGGACCCCGGTGGTTTTCAGGATTACACTCCGCTCCCAAGCCCTGCCCACTCGGAAAGAGGACCACTTATACCAGGAACCAGGGGAGGGAGTGCAACTCCGCCCCTTTCACAGGTTGGCTCGGCGGCACACCCTCGCTTTGCCTCACTCGGGAATCGGAGCATCTTTGCAGGATTCAGCCGCCTTTCCGCTGGGAGGAGCAAATCCAAGGCCCTGCCCTGACTTAGGCTCTTCCAATTCCTCCTTCCAGGCCACGGTCTAGCCCTGGGCTCCTTCCACTTCAGAAAATAGACAAAGACTATAAACCGCCCTCTACCTAGAGTCAGTCCCCGCCCCTTATTGATGTTAGGATATCGCTGCTGGGGTGGGGGGGGGCAACTTCCTCTCTTTAACACAGAAACTCCAACCCCGGTATGGCCCACCTCTCCAACCATTGGGCCGCCCCTACGAAGGACGCGCCTTTCTCAGGTAAGCCCCGCCCCCTCCACGAACTGCACTGCGCTGGTGCCACTAGAGGCCACGCCCCCGCCTCACCATGGCATTGATTTGATGCACCGCGCGCCCGAAGTTGGTGGCCTGGAAACCAGTGGTGCCGAAGGCCTCCAGCATCGCGCGGTAGTCCACGCCACGGTTGAAGTCGTAGCCCCGGACCTGGGCGCTCTCGGACGGCAGCGCCGAGCTGTGCTGAAGCACCGCGGCCCGCGCCGCCGCCGGCGCCTCCCCTTCCGGGGGGCCCTCCATGCTCCGCCGCCGCGCGCGGATCAGAGCAGTCCCACGCCAGCCTTCAGGGGCCGCAAACGCTGTACCTGGCA